AACTATCTATGTGTAAAATTTATTATAGTTTTAGTTTTTAGGTGAAATTGAAAAAATGTTTTCAAGAATGTAAAGCTTCCACTTCAATTGAATTATTGCCTGCTTTTGGTCAATTTATTTTGTCATCTTACCATGTGAAGAAGTACATGAATAGTAAAACACCGCTTTATGTCAATAAACATACTTACACCAGCAGCTACCATCTTTTCATTCTGGATTCAATATTTTACAATGATACTAGTGAGTAGATTTACAAAACTACGTACATGAGCTACACCTAGTCAGCCAAAACATATCAATAGACTAATTACAGGATTACTCAAGTTGTAAATATGTGCTAAATTGGATAGTGTATGGAAAGGTATATACTATGAAATTAAGAGCTCGGGGCAAGCCCCTCGCTCTAAATTTCATAGTATATACCTTTCCATACACTAACCGACACTTGATTATCTTTGAAATCACTCACACGTGGCGGTGTACACATAATACACAATATATGACTTTAAATACCTGGGGCAATTTATACTTCCGTTTATTGTCCCTTTAACTAGCCAGTGTATCTGTGTATAATGTATTTACCGACCGTGCAAGGGCTGTATAGCCAGTCAAGGTCGTTGAAACCTCCATTTGTTATGATGTATCTCTGGCTCCATTGATAGACTCCCATAATATAGTCGAGTGCGGATCCCGGATTTTGAAAAAAATGTTGGAGGACGAAAAGACAACATTAGAAATGGGACTAATGTATGAAGTTTATATTATGCATTTACCATTGAAGCAGCCTCGATGATAAATTGTCATCTAAGACGGTATAAATTAAAATTCTGTATGACATGTCACGAAGAGGAGTTGAGATATATGCGACATATTTTATTATATGTCCTCAGACACATGTTTTCAGACATTAAATCTATTTCTTGTGTGACAGTTTGCTGACTGTTAATGTTCATCATATCCTTTTCGCAAATAGGGCCGTATTTACACTACAAATTTCACTCTGAGTACAGACAAACCTGTGCATCTTGAAAAGTTTTAGAGTATTGGGTGGGGGGGGGGGGGGGGGGTAGGACCTTTATCGGGACTCCGGGATTGGGTGTTTTTAAGCTCGGGATTTCGGGATTGATCCTTTCGGGATCCGGGAATTCTTTTTTCGAATTTCGGGATGTCGGGATTTACATTTTTTTAAATTCGGGACCTCGGGATTCCATGTTTTTAAGCCCGGGATTTCGGGATCAGGACCCCTCCTACCCCATTCAGTATGGCAGGACCTAGATAAATAAAATTTAAATGCATTTTAAGTTTCAGAATATTGAAAACTTTACTAGATTTTGCTATTCATTTTTTTCGTTCCTGCAGAAGGTGCCAAAATAAACTAAGGTGGAGAGAATCGGAGACGTTAAGGGCTTGAATAATTCGAGTTAGGTCATTACATGGTCCGAGGACACAGTTATCGTTCTTTGGTTTTTGTTTACCTAAAGTCGTGGTGTGAACAGTGTGTAACTAGCATTTTTTTTTATAATACTCTTTCCCAATTTATTTCTTGATATCTAATGCATGAAATTTTATGTAAGTGGATGAAATTACATATTAAAAAAATTGGGTGCTGAATCTTTATGTTAAGTAGTGATTTGGTCCAGTTAAAGTCTGAAGCTGTCTAACTGAATTTGAGACCCCCTTAACACAGAATTGTCAATAATATGAGTTATCTAGAGCGTTAATACGTTCCAATTGACTTGGAAAGAGCCGATTTTTAAATTGAATTGATTAATTTAAAAGGCTTGGGCAAATAACATTTGAGAACGTAACTTTATAGCAAGGAACTATAGCGTATGCAGATTTTCTTTGAACACATACGAGGGTCTTGAATATTGGGGGAAAGGGGTGTCTTTCAATCCTGTTTGTCTTTTAATTTGTAAGTCATTTTTTCTCTATTCTTCATACTTTTCTCTTTTCCTTATTTTCTTGGCGTCTATTTTCTTCACTTTATTTGGCCCTTTGTTGTGCACTTTTTGTCCATTTATATTCTCTATTCTTCTATAAATCCTATCCAGACCCTCATAAACATACACAATCAATATGTTCCGCTCCTAACCCCAGTTGACATGGATATAGACAATTGTCATCCATGGGGTTTTTCTCATCTGTTGTGATGATATAACATTGCTAAACGAGTCCGTTATAAAAAAGATGTGGTAAGATTGGCAATGAGACAACTCTCCACAAGAGACCAAATGACACAGAAATTAACAACTATAGGTCACCGTACGGCCTTCAACAATGAGCATAGCATATACCGCATAGCCAGCTATAAAAGGACAAAATACTAGGAGTCCATTACTTCTGATATTACATATAGATATATGATTAATGTATAAATACGCAATCACGTATACGTCCGATGCTAAATTGTTGGCTTTGTTGGAAGGCAAAATATTTAGCCCTATACTGACTGGAACTAGTATATACAACTGAAAACTAGATAAATAATGAAAATCAAGGAATCAATACATGCTATAACAGCAAATCTGAACGAAACCAAATGCATATTAGTAAAATTATAAATATACAACTTGCATTTCAGCAACTGTTTTGTTAGTTATTAATTATGATGCAATTCGTGAATAAATTATCCTACACAGTGGAACAAATGGGAAGTCAAAATACGTTAATTTCTGGATTAATACTTCTGCAAAGACGATGTCATTATATTGTTTCAATAAACCGACTTAAATAAAAATCAAATTATAACTTTGTAATGATTATAAATGTTTACCTTTTGAAATAAATTTTGATATATTGAATATAGATACAGAAAAAATGAACTCAAATGTTTTATTTGCATGTATTGTATGACGTATTTAATAACATCTATGTGTAAAGAAACGTTTTAAAGCATGCTATTTTGACGATTACGAATTCAGACTCTGACACTAAGAAAAATCTTATTAGAATAAAAAAAAAATTCTGATCGGCCGTATATAAACCTCCCATCACTTTATTCATATCACATATCAATTTAAAAAAATTTGCAACGATGTCAAAATAGAAAGGCTGACCAAAATGTTCAACTTGCGGCTAATGATTGACAGGTATGATTAGACCTTGAGGCTCTTGTGGGGAACGTGGTGTCTAAAGTAAAAAGAAGATTATTCAATTATTTATTTTAGGACTCTTACGATATGTCGATCTGATATGGAAAATTGTGAGTTTCTTTTAATAGCACAAAGAAATAAGACGATAGAATGGTAACAATTTTGTAACCATAAATGAATGACTCGTATATATAATTTACGGGACTGATTGTATCGAAAGTTTGATGAAAACATTCCATTTCAAACCTTCTTGGTTGGAATGAACATGTTCGATGTATATGCAAATAGGTCTTTATTATATAATGTATTTAAATTATCTTCATCAAATACAATACAATATATAACATGTATCTATGATATCCTCCATAAAGAGTAAATATCTGTACAGGTAAAATTTAATTCTGATCAATCGGGTACAGATTGAATTATTTACGACCTTCCACTTGTATTGTACAAGGAATATCACAGCAGGTGTTAATTACACTAGGACAAGTGTCAAATCAGTATGACATCTTGCCGGATAACTGCATCTTCAGTAAAAAGACTCTATTAGTACAGGAACTGATTTCTTTTCTAAACATGACAATAAAGAAGAATTTTATAAGGTGAGAATATTTGTAGTTGTGTATTGCAAAGTTACCACGTGTATTCATCCTGTTCATTGGTCACATTAAAATAGATTTTTCTTTATTGAACAATTACCAAATTCGATATTTAAATCGTAAGTAACTTTATTATCTCGACTGAAAAGAGTAATAAGACAGTTTTGTTTATCTGACTGTAAACATTGTATATATCACAACGAGCTATTAATAACCGTCGCTCACGCACCAGTAGTTCTATTGACGACTCAATACACACCAGTTTTATCAGACCAACGGCTAATTCCCGTCGACACTGTATAATGGATTATGTAAACATCTATATACAACGATCTATTAATAACCGTCGCTCACGCATCACTGGTTCTATCAATGACTCAATACACACCAGTTTTATCGGACAAACGGCAAATTCCCGCCGACACGGTAAATCTCCGGATGACATGCATAATTTTCTGTGACACAGCAAATTTACGATGAACCTCTAATTATTTTCCGTTCCGCGCAGATTATCCAAAAATCGCGGTCATTTGCCAAATAGGTCTACCAGTGTAAAGCCAACAGAAAGTATTTCAGCTGCAGTGTAAATGTTGTTCACATCAATTTTCCAATACACCTTAGTGCTATTTATTCCAATCTTGATAAGTTCTGAAATTACACAACTTTTTCAATACATCACAAACCAGTTGAATCTATCTGGGGCCCTGTTTAAACAATATACACTGTATTGTGCATAAAACTTTTCAAAGAGACAAAGTAAACATTTCAAACTTAGCTTTTTTTTTACTTTAATTTGTGCTTCAAAACATTGGATCACAATATATCAAAATTTCGATAATGACCTTTGTTTTTTGCCACCAATGATACAAACAGGAAGTTGTTCAAGTGACTGTTTTTTCTGGTTTGGACTAAGTAGCAATGAGGTGTATTGTTTTTTATTGAAGACACTTGCCTCTTATTGATCTGCATAACTTTCATGTCAATAAATAGTTCAGGAATAGAGGATAGTTGCATTGATTAATAAAAAACATTACATTTATATATATAGTTTTTAAAAAGTTATTTTCCATTGAAAGCTTTCGCCGCGATATAGCCATTTTGTGCTGATGCGGCGTAAAGCAATCACCAATCAATCAATCAATTAATCAATTTTCCATTGAAAATCGACAAAATGTATTCTGCAAATTAGAGTTACTTCCCTTTGTACAAGGCAATAACAGGTAATGTAGTAATCAAATAACTAGGTAGGAAAACATTATTGAAATTTTCCAAACAGTAACAGATTTTTATTATAGCTACTTACTTTGGCTTAGAAATTTCTGCAGCTGTGGCAACCACTTGGAAACTAGATTTAGTAAAATCGCTGAAAGTAATAATAATGGTTTAAAACATGATCTTTTGAATATTTATGTATCATCCCAAGATTCAAATATTAGCACTTGACCAGTATATTGGTCTAGGGATGATTAGGAAAAGGAACCATTTATAGAATATTTCATTTCAGCCTAAAATAACTATCTTTTTGTTTTTTTATCTCATTTTCTTCACAACAAATCACTTTTAAGTTCACTGCATTATGAAAATTTCTTACTGTTTTGGAAGATAGAATAGAGAAAGAAAGAAGAACTTATAAGCTTTTACAAACAGATGCCTGAATGTTGATCTGCAGATTTCTTTTGTTGTTTTCTTTTTCTAGGGTTGCTGTCTAATGTAGGTATACACCGGTACCACATCTATTATTAAAATATGATCATGTATATCATCCTGATTATTGATCTTCGAGTTTGAAAAAAAAAGTTATCATAGTGGTAAAAGTTTCTACATGTATGACATCACAGACAGAGCATTTTATCCTCCTATTTGCAATTAATGTACAATGATATAGCTTTGTATATGTGTTGTAATCATATACTTAAAGCCACTTACAAATATGTGATGAAAATGAAATATGATTGGACATTCTGCAAAGCTTTACCTTACCTTTTGTTTTCCACATCATTATATCAGTTTTATGAAAAAAGGGAGGGAGAATATTTCTTGTGAGGGCAGCAAAGTATGAATACATATTATTTGTCCACTTCAAGCAAGTAGTTTCGTATCTTTCAAAAACCATTTGTTTATTGTTAAAATATAGACCCATTCCAAAAGTGCTCCCTTATTTTAATTTCAATATGTGCAGAAAGGCAATAAAAAAACATTCACAGTATACCAGGATTGAAGAGGCATAAATTAAAAGAACTCTTACATAAATTATTTAACATATAATTCCTTGTTTTAAAGTTAAGAATGGATTTCATATGTTCATATTTTTTAATATTTGTATTCAGTTTCATCATAATTATTTTTATCAGAAGCAAGGCATAGAGGTAAAACTGTTTAACACACCAGCTTTGTTCCATCAAAACATGGTGAAATTAGTCAAAAATACAGTCTGGGGCTTTTTTTCATAGAACACGCAGGACAGGCAACAATAGCCTTATATAGTTTCTAAGCTTACCTTGTATTATTTGTGTTGGCTGAATTTGGGTTGATAGTCTGCAAAATATAAGAAATACATATACACATAATCAATATCAAATGTATTCTTTTTTCTGCTTGAAATCTGCACCTGATATCACCCCTGGTTTTTGATGGGGTACGTGTTACTCAGTCTTAAGTTTTCTATGTTGTGTTTTGTATACTGGTATTTGTCTTTGGGTCTTTTTTTTTTTTTTTTTGCCATTGCATTATCAGTTTATTTTCGACATGAGTTTTAATGTCCCTTTGGTATCTTTCATCTCTCTTTCACAGTTTGTAGACACAGGTTACTCATTTTAAACAAGAGTGCACATATTACAATGTCTTGCCTGCTTTAATTATCATGAATTGAATTCATGTTGAAAGTGAGTAAATGGGAAATAAAAATTTTAATAAAAAGTATCATATAACACTAACATTATCAATGATAAATGTAAATCAGGTCAGAATCCAGAGGAATTATGCCAGACACAAATATACACATTACAATCATACCATACAACAAATTTAGTTGACCTATAGCCTATAGTATCTGATAAAGGGACAACACCATGAAAACTTAACATTGACCAATGAATCATGAAAATAAGGTCAAGGTCAGATGAAACCTACCAGTGGGACATGTACACTTTACAATCATTCCATACACAAAATGTAGTTGACCTATTGTTTACAGTATCTGAGATACAGCTTTGACCATGAAAACTTAATTTGGATCACTGATCCATGAAATGAGGTAGAGGTCACTTGTTATTGTTTTTCACAAGTGATTATAAAGCTTCTAATTGTCCTCAAGACTTAATTAATTTTACCTTTATACTTTAGAATCAAAATTCAATAACATACAGTTCACCTCTTTACAATGAAGATAACAGTATTAGATGTACATGTATGACATTTAAAACAGTTGGACAAATTCGGGAATTTAACATTAAAATACCATGAATGCCTCAGAAGACTGCAAAACTTAATTAAACCAAGATTTTTAAAAAGATCCATTTTCCATTAACAAATAATTTCCCACATAGAATCAACTTAAACATTCAAATTTACAAATGTAAGTGAATTTTTTTTTTTTTGTGTTGTGTTGTGTTTTTGGGTTGTTGTCTCATTGATACTACCTTTTCAGATGTTAATGAGCCTATCTCATGTCAAGAACCTTCTCAGTAGTTTTCTTTTATCTGTTGTTTTTTATTCTTTAAAGAATTTGGTATCCATAACAGATCTTTTATAAGCTCGTCTACATTTATTTACAACTTAATAAGACTCTAAAAAATTTAACATTTGATTTATGATAGATACACATGTATTTGACAATTGAAGATGACTTCTTTCTTTTTGATTGATTGATTTTTGGTGTTTAACACCACTTTTAAGTACCCCTTGTGGGCTATTTCGTGGCGGCCAGTTTTTATTGGTGGAGGAAGCCAGGGTGCCCGGAGAAAACCACTGACCTTCGATAGGAAGACTGACAATCCTAGTCAATTAAGATTGGAGTCGAGTGCACCCGCACAAGCAGGGTTCGAACTCACAACCTGAGTGTTGACTGGCTAGTGATTACAGTAGCAACTACTTAGACCACTCGGCCACCGAGGCCCCTCGTTCTTATTTTGGTGTTGGGATGTTTATCAAATGGTATACTGTACATGTGAATTCATTATTTTTTGTTGGGTACCAATATTTGTGGATTTCGTGGGTATAGATGAACCCCAAATTTAAGTTTTGAACAAAGCATAAAAAGTTTGGCAAAACCACAAAATCAAGTATAAATGAAAATATAATTTTTCTTCAATCCACGAAAATTTGTACCCACAAAAATAAATGAATCCACAGTATATGACATCTACTTTTGATTTATAATACACAAAATCAATTTTTCAGACAAAAAATGGTAAACAAATTAATGATTATTGCCGTAAGTTAACAAACCTCATCAGGGGGTAGTTGATCACAAACCATAGCCAGTAATGGCTTCTCTTCTTCACTTCTATCAGTCACACAAACATCTGAATCAGTTGCAGCAGACGTCAGATAATAATTAGGAATTTTGTCTTCTGCTTCAAATCCTATACTACATCCACTGTCAGTTGCCATAGAAACAACAGATGGTGATCTGAATAAGACTTTTGGTTTTGAAACATCTGTATCAGAAGTAGGCTTTTCAAAGTGGAAACTGTTTCTTCTTTCTAGTTTTTTCGGTGAAGATTTTTTACTTGAAGCAGAAGAAGGTCTAGAAAATGAATGACTCCTTTTGACATTAGTCATAGCACGACCTGGTGTCATTAGTGAATCACTAATACAACCACAGTTTTCACTGACTGTCATACATTTCTTTCTATACATATCTAACAAGTCAGAATATGACTGTCCATTGTCCTTTGGTGTTTCAGACATGTAATCCTCATCCGTTTGCAGACATTTATTATTTAGTTCTAAATGCATGATATTTTCTTCAGCTTGCCTTTGGAGTTCACAATCATTTTCTTTCACTGTGGACTCAGAATTAAGGTTAATAAACATAGCATCATCTGATGTCTCCTCTCGTCTCATCTGAATACTTTCTTGAATGGCCAAAAGTTCCTGATCTAAATCGTCAAATGTCAATGTCTTGTCATCTTTAAGAGAGATCTCTATCTGATCTCCAATTTTATTCTCAGTGAATATTGATTGGTGAGGAGGATATTCTCCTTCAAAATAAACTTTTGATTTTCTTGATGGTGATTCTGCTGATTCAGATTTTCTATTGGTTACCACAGATATGCTTGAGTGCGATGTCTCAGAAGACCTTCTTTTGTGCTTTTTTCCTAAATTAGCTGAGGATGGCCTCACCAGCTTGTTAAATTTATTCTTAGAACCATCTGAACTACTACGAAGTGATGAAGCCACAGGACTTGGCGATCTTGCTGGAGAGGGACTACGACGAGGACTCTCTGCACCTAGGGTATAATAAACACTCCCATCATGTAATACAGACTGAATCTGTAATGTGTTTGGTGCTTTGTATCTTTGTCTATTCCTGCATGTATGTACTGAGTTCTGCTTCCCATTAACATTTTTATCACTGGGTTCCATGGATTGGGAACCAGACTGCTCAGCATTCTGGGATGAAGACGTATTTTGAGATTTACTTTCAGCATATCTGTTGTCATTCTGGTCTTTAATATTGTCATCATCATCATTATCATCATCTTTCTTAATTATAACATCATCATCAGGTTTACAACTTTCTTTAGTTTTCTTTTTGCCTTTTTCAATTTGTTCTCCTTTGTCTAAAACTTTAATCTCCCCTTGAACTATTTTGTTTTCTTCAGATTTAGATTTTTCCGTTTTATCAACAATTTTGATATCAACCTTCATAGCTATTTCCATTTGTGTATTTTCGGTAGACACAGTGTTTGTTGTATTTTCCCTCAAGCCTTCAGCAATTTTGGCATTTTGGAATTGTTTCATGTCTTTGCTTTTTTCACCATCCTCTTTAGAGCCCTCAGCAAATCTGACCAATTTTCCTGCAGTATTTGGCCTACTTTGGTTCTCGGTTTTGTCACCAGTCTCTCCTGCATTGCATTCCTGGTTTTGTTGAAGTTCAAGCTGGTTTTTTATTCTACTGTTGATATTATTATCAAAAGGTGTATTTTCTTTTCCTTTACCATTTATTTCTGTAACAAACATCCTTGGTGTAGGGGTTGGACCTAAAATGAACATAAAATTGTAAATTTATAAAAATGTTTCTGCTTATCTGTTGAAATCTGACACCAAGAGGTCAACAAAGTCTTCAACAACAGACACTAATCAATGTCTTAACCATATGTTTAAAATAATTTTATTTAAAATAAAAAACCTGGCTACTGAGAAATTAGAAATAAATTAGTGTTCTATATACCTGAAAGGCCACTGTTTGTAGTCATTCGGGAACCAGTTGGACCAATTGGTAATGAGTCACTTTGGTAAACTCTACAATCAGAAAAGAAGGTTAAAGCTAACCTACATGGCATCTTTTTAATTAACAGGGAAACAAATTTTAAGAACAGAATTGCCTGCAATATGATGACATCTATCTGTATTTTGACAATGAAATTTCAAATGTTTCCTATGCTAAGGGACACTTACATTTTAATTAGAAAAGACTCAGGACACTCAAGTAGAAAATGTAGATACATGTACTTATCAGATAGTGTGATAAAAATCTAAAGAAAAGGGTAATAACACTTTTAACTCACTTACATGCAAAGTTTTGTTTTAACAATATCCTCATTCACAGAAAGTGACCTTGGCAGAGATCAACCAAACATACTGCTTTAGATATACAAACTGCCACATCAACAGAAAGGTGGTTCATCTTTCCATAGAAAGAAAGACCTATAGCTTTAAGAGCTTATTCAGAAATGTAGGCAGGCGATGATTAACTCTAAAGGGTTTCTATTGAAATACTCTAGATTCATTACTATTCGTTGGGTACCAATTTTTGTGGATTTCATGGTTATAGATGAACCATGAATTCAAAAGTTCAATGAAGAACAAGATTTTGATAAAATTATCCGCAGACTTTGGCAAAACCACAAAATCAAATATCACTTATGAGTCTTTTGAAGACAAAAAGGCATCTGGAGTACAAAAATGTTTAATCCTGGTATCTATGATGAGTTAATTTATCCTCAAATATATATTTTTCCTCAATCCAAGAAAATTGGTACCAATGACAATAGATGAATCCACAGTAGATAGTATTTTTTTCTATCCACATTCTTACTCTGGTGTTTCTCCTTCTAGCTCTGTTGATTCCTCTTTTATAATATGGTCTCGGTTTTCATCCACACTCGATGCACGAGATGTACGATGAATGGATTCTTCAGTACGGGGCCTATCATACAGGTATTCGTGAACATTTGGTATACGTTCTAAGATCTCCCTCCTTCTAGCTAAAGTTTTGTTAGCAGGTGGCAGTGATGTTCTGTTTTCTAAAAGTAGAAAAAAATAATGACAAATATGATTTGTTTAAACACAATATACTTCTATATTTCTCTCTGACTTGTGTCAATGATTTTCCATTAATGATTTTAAAGCTAGTACGTAAGAACCATTTGTTGAATGTTTTTTAAAATGATATGTAAAAGTTTATAAAACTAACCCTTTAAATACAAAGAATAAAATACAAATAAAAACTCACAACTTTACAATTTATATATACATTTTGGTCAAATTAAATATCATGCATAAATCTAAATATCAATGGAAAGATCTCAAAATAATGCAACATTTCCTTAATGCAAGTTTTCAGGTATAAATCAAATCTGTGAAACATAATTCAAACTAACGTTAATTTCTGACAAATTGTCATAATTCTGGAGTCAAAACAAAAACTAATAAATAGTTACCGTAGTCACTGAATGGTTTGCCTAAATAAATGATGTCAAAATCAGTGCATTTGGTTGGTATTGGGATCTTTACTTTGTAAAAGTTTAAAACATTTAGGAAAGTGAATTTTACCTATCACTGATGTGGATTTAAAGGAATTTCCAACATTTATTATGCCTTCTAGGAATATCAAGTGTAAAGGGTGTGTATCTCTGGTAATTATAATCATTATAATATATATTTACATATCATTCATGTATGTGATTTATAAACCATATGTGTAGATACAACACATATGCCCCTCAAATGAAGTAATATGTGGATAAGGTCTATATATAACATGTATAACCTTAATTTGAATAAAACTACCAAAGAGTTTTTCCTATAATTTATTGTAAAATGAAAAAAAAAATTTAAAAGCGGGTAAGATTAAAATTCAAAGTACCAAAAAAAAAGTATTGTCAAACAGGAAGTTACTGCAATCAACCTTATAATGTTTAGATCAAAACAAGAATGTGTCCATAGTACACGGATGCCCCACTCGCACTATCATTTTCTATGTTCAGTGGACCGTGAAATTGGGGTCAAAACTCTAATTTGGCATTAAAATTAGAAAGATCATATCATAGGGAACATGTGTACTAAGTTTCAAGTTGATTGGACTTCAACTTCATCAAAAACTATCCGACCAAAAAACTTTAGCCTGAAGCGATACAGACGGACGAAGGGACGGACAAACGAACAAACGGACGCACAGACCAAAAGAAATAATGCCCCTCTACTATCGTAGGTAGGGCATAAAATATTGTTAAAACAGAAGCTGTGTTATACATAAAGAAAATGGACAGACAAAAAAATGGAATGATAAAGCAACAATGGTATGCCATTATATATATATGCAATGTCAGCTATATTTCATGTATTCACAAATAATTATAAAGATCAAGATTATAAACAGTGCATCATGTCAAATATATTTAGATCAAGATCAAGACTGTTTTAAGATTTCTTCTCCCTCTTCCTACAAAACTCATAGACAAAGGCAGTAAAAATGGGGAATCAGCTGTGCTAGTTTTTACCATGAGTTGATTTACAACCTAAAGAAAAGTTTTTAATTTTCCATAAGGATTTCAGTTTAAATACATTTAAAAGAATACACATTCAAACCACATGTATGATTATGTCTTTACATTGTACAAATTAAATGTCAAAACCATGCAATTTCAGCATATATTTTTTTAAAAGAATTTTTGGCTTTTTATTAAGGTCCCTTTTGGTTAATGGGCTCTAGTTTTTAATTGTCTAAACATTCCTGGCTTTTAATATTTGAGGCTTGAGCATTCCTGATAATGGTTATTCCAGAAAAGTGCTTCTGACACACCAATCTTATAAAGCGTCATTTTCATTTTGAAACACTTATTCCATGAAATTACTTTAAATTCAGAAATCATTGTGTGCATTAATTATTGCGATTTCAGGAAAATCTGCATACAGATATATGTATCAAATATCAGGATGCGGGTTCTTAGAATTGCGATATTCAACCTGTCAAATTATTCACATTAATACAAAAGTCACATTAATTTCTGAATTTACAGTATAAAAATGCAGAGATGAAACATCTGCATCTTAAAATCTCTTATTCCAATCGATTTCAGAGAAAGGAGCAAATGACCCATAAGTATGTTGATTACAAATAAATCTTAAAGTAGTACCTTAATTATCTTAAATCTGGATTAGTGATTGTAAATCTCAAAATAAGTTTTGTAATTATTTCATTTCACTGTCATTCATTTTTACCGCCGATTCATTATTATTCGTGGGATAACAATTTTCGTGGATTTCATGGTTACAGGTGAACCATGAATCTAAATGTTCAACAAAATACGAAAATTTAAATAGGCTTGTATGCAGAATGTTGTAAAACCACGAAATCGAATGTCAACGAAAATAAAACCATCTTTATTCCAGGAAAATTGGTATAATGTACAGACAAAAAATAATGAAACCACGGTATTTCTCTCACAGAGTCAATCAATGATTCTGCTCACTACTCACCAGAAACGATACCTCTACATTTCTCTATTGATGGTCCCTTAACATTCACTGGCTTCAGTGGTTTTAATCTACAAAATCAAAAAGAGAATGTCAATTAAAAATCAAAGTACTGAAGTATTGAACATCAGATGACCGCAAATTCTTGTGGATGGTCAAAAGCACTTGTCTCTGAAAAAAATCACATCTCTATATACCTGAAAGTGAGGTTAATGTACAGATATAAAAAAAATTCTGAGACAAGTTCGTGCGTGGATAATAAATAAATGACAGGGAATTCAACCTCACCGTAATAACTATTATATTGTAGTGATACAAATCAGTATACTCTGGTTTGTTGTTATATATTATATTAATATTTGTATATTACAGTTACATGTATATATAATTTTCATCCATTTGTATATCATTCTATTCTACTATATTAATAATAGTGCAGTGCAAGTGCATGGTGGACACTCTTCTGTAAAAATTCGATTTTCCTAATAGATTGGATTTGAGTAGGCATTCATATTTTCCCGCAAAACTTTCAATCTCCCATGCAGAGTTATCGGTCTTTGAGAGAGAGCAAGGACTGGTAACTCTGCATGGGAGATTGCAAACATTATTGAGATATTCTTCCGCATGCGTTAACACAATTTTTTCTGTACATGTGCATAGATATTAATGATTTTTTACTTATATATATATAACAAAACATTTTCATATTATTAATTTAAGTTCTAAAAAATATTTTATGAGTATTCATTGAAGAAATGAATTTATAACAAGCGATAAGGAATGTTATTTTGCACTCGATAATGTCTGTGTATTTATAAATCATAGATCGGTTACCAGTCAAACATGAAAGTTACGTAATGGAAATCTCTCTGGCAACAATACATCGGAATGCCCTCACAGTCATCGCTATGTAAAAATGAAACATTTAACAAGGTTAATTAACACAAATCACTCGCAAAAATTAGTTGGTTTATACTATCCATTAAACATGTAAGGTACACTAGAGATCACTGGTTTGGAAAGAAAACTTATAAGACCATAACAAACAAAAGGACATCCAAACCCTCTAAGGTAGAGGGAGCTATAACCAGTTATTTAATTTGTGTACTAGATAATCAAGGACAAAAATATATCATTTAAATCATGCCAGCACCAAAACACTGACTACTGGACATTTGTTTCCTTGAAAGTAAAAATCGACATTTTAGGCGGGAAAATCATGTATAAAAATTTGCAGAAAGTTTTGCGCTATTTATGTTATCGAGTTTTATGATTTGCTAAAATTGAAAAGTAGTAATACAGCATAAAAATTTGTAACTTCTACAATTAGTGCAGAAAATTTCCTAAATAAATAGCTGTACCAGATGCGCAAGATAGGCCCTTTGAATGCATATAGAAATTGAAACAAAATCACATGGAATATTGTAAAAAGTATTTTTGTAGAAGTCCTTAAATTTGAAGTCTATAAAATGGCACTGCAGAAAAACTTGCAGGAAGATAACCTAAGGCGTTTAACACTTTCCTGTAATTTGACAGTTAGTCTCAAAACTCTTAGATCAGCAAATCCATAGATTTGCATAATAGCAAGGGAACATTCTTTTGCCTATCTCAATTTAAGTGTGAAGTTTGAAGTAAATTGATCCTTGCATATTCAAGCTAAGAATAATTTACTTAAATCTGACATTTAAAGTCCCATAACTAGGGAATGACAAATTAGAAAATTTTCAGATTTGAAAGTAGCTTGCTTTTTATTGATCCCACATAAAGTGTTATGTAAATCTATCCCAGCATACTCAAATCAGTGCAAGACACTTGAAAAATTAACATAAATCTGATGGTTTAAAATCAAATAACTCTGGAATAACTGACTAGGACATTTTCAATGAAAAAGGGAGCTTACTTTCACTGAATAATAATGTAAAGTTATAAGTACATCAACCCCAGCATGCTCTAGATTGAATGTGATATATATGTGAAATATTACCTTAAATCTGACAGTGATGGTGGTTCAAGTTTGGAACAACAAACACAGAAAGTTTTCAACATTGAAAGGGAACTTTCTTTCAACAAATCAAATAAATATGAAATTCATTGAAGCATTCTCTCTCTATATTGTACAGCATGTGGATGCTGAAGGAATGAACAGAGACTGATAATTCTCTAATACATCTTGTCTATGACAGGTATGTAAAAACCAATTTCCAGAGAAAATGTTGAAATACAGTAGCATATATATATATGTATCAATGGTGGCATACTATATGGTGAATGTGCATGCAACTATTCTACATATAAGTAAGAAGTGAGATTCATCATCTTGGCCCAGATCACCTGTACAGTTTCATACTTCTAAATATAAAGAAATGTAATCTCTCAAAATATAAATAGAAATAATTGCTTGCATGCAACCTTATTCCCTGTATGCATATGTGGAGGCAATCATGCTTTATTTGTATTAAATGTGATAATTGTCTTACATGTAATTATCTCTACAAATCAAGTAAACAAATAAAAACAATTTCCTACAATAATTAAAAAAATAAACTTATAATATTAAGCCAGAAAAGTTATCTGCTTCCGGTAACTTCATGTAACAAAATTGAGCAAAATGAATTTGTTCATTGATTAAATGCTAAAGGTAGGAGTTCTGGTAAACAGTGTAATTTACGGAAAAGAACTTGCTTAAAACACTGTATTTTCCGTATAGTGACAATGAAAAAAAAAATGTAATCATAACATACCGACCCTAAAAACACATGTATTTGTAATCACAACATACCGACCCTAAAAACACATGTATTTATAATTGTCTGGTTACTTTCTTTAAAGCATTTGCCAAGAAAAACTTCTAAATACATTAAAATGTACTCAAAATATATAAAATTATAAAAAAAAAAAGGAAAATATATAATAAAAAGTGAAATATTCATAAATAATAAATTACTACTGTACAATACTTCACACTTTGCATCAATATGTGATACTTACTTTCCCTTTAGGAGCCTCCCATGAAGTTTGGCCTTTTGTTCCACTGGTTCTCTGGATAACATTTTACCTACTTGGAAGGTAGCAAATGCTGTCATGTCTTTCAGATCTTGTGCTGGAGAGGAAGGTCTATCCTAAAATATGTATACCAGTACAAAATTGTATGTATGTATGTACTATTCAAATATCGTAATTTTAATTCCAAATTCTTCCCAATTGAGATTTAAAAAAATGTTTTATGGATGAAGTGGATTTCAAATATACCTCAATTCCTAATAACATATAACTATATATCAAGTTAATTACAAGTTGGGTTATATTTGCCATTTGGGCTAAATATTGAGGCAGTTTAATCTTCACTGTGATCCTTATTCATGGTTCAGGGCTTTGAACAATGCATTTAAATGAAAAGTAAAATGTCCTTGGAGGGTAAATAATATTCCATGGTAAATTTTCTACTGCAACAAATGGCAAAACTTAAGACAAACACATGATAATTTCCCTGATATATAATATATTCTTTATATACAATTTCTCTTTATCTAGTTATAATTCAAAATTTTAGAGAACTCAAGCTAAACATTTTTTTGTCATTACCTGAGATGTCTCCGCCTTCTGCATAGAATGTTTAAAGGGTGACTTGATGTGAACATTTGGTTTGGGTTTCTGTCGGCTTGTAGGCGATACAAAGATTGAAGATGCTGGTGTATTCCTGCCACTGCAAAACATTAAAAGAAATTGATGATAATTTCACCTTTAATTAACATAATTAACTTTAACATTTCTAAAAGAGAATTTCACAAATTGTTTTTGTGAACTGAATTTTCTAACATTAGTTTGAGTGTTTCGTAAAATGGGTCAAAATCACATGCAGTCATTCACAATTTTTAAAAGAATCTTCTCGCAAACATAGCATTGAAAAAACATAATATTTTGGTTAGCCTTATAAATTAAATTTTTTTATAAACATTGATGCTAAATAAAGTTAAATGGGCCTTCATTCCTGGTAAATCAAACAGGTTGTTTATATACAGATGCCTGCATGTTCTTAAACATCTCTACAACATATCAGCCATATTTCAAAGATAAGAATGTTTGAAAATAATAATAATTAATGTCAAATGCAATCAAGAGTAACATTCATCAGATGCATTCATGCAAGATCTGAAATGTAGAGTGAAGTGACCTAATTCAGACATGCATATTACTTGTGCTAGCAAGTTTAGTTTTTTTTCTTCTGAAAAGCAGAGTAACCAATAGCAACTGACCTAAATAAGTGTTTCATCAGTCTGGATATTCTTTAACATCAGTTAATTTTAACAATTTACTTTCAAAGTATTATGACAAAACCAAATCTATAAATCTGGACATGGAGGGGCTACATAAAAACCCATAATGAATTCTGGGTAATAATAGAGAGGAAACCATGGAATGTTTAGGGACATAAAAATAATCAAAGCTTTATTTTCTTTTTCCAGTAGAAACTATACTATAAACAAAACAGTTGACTCAGAGATTGCTTTGCAGAAAAATAAAGATCCATGATTGAGATAAACTACCATATATTGCATGTACAATGTAAATGACATTGGACATCTCTTTTTTAGGAATTCAAAGGTTCACATGGTCGTATATCTTTTTGTTAAACAATATTGCTGCTACAAATTTATGAGCAAGACTAAACAATAAGCCTAACAATATCCATGTGATCAGAAACATGGATTCAAATTGTAATATACAAATAGCAATAGACTGTTGCACAAAGTTTAAAAAATTGCCTATTAAAAAAATGACAGTATATGTACCTCAAGAGAACATACATCTATTGGAAAATAAGTAAATAATTTCTTGGAATTTCTGCTTGATTGTACCTGATCCAAGAATATTAAAGAAAAACTTGATCTTCAAATGCAGAAGATTTGACACAATGTTTTATGTATCTCACTTGGATTTACCTTGACCTTAAAATACCTACAAGAAATGTATTTGACACAATGTTTTATGTATTTCACTTGGATTTACCTTGACCTTAAAATACCTACAAAAAATGGATTTGACACAATGTTTTATGTATCTCACTTGGATTTACCTAAATACCTTAAAATACCTACAAAAAATGGATTTGACACAATGTTTTATGTATTTCACTTGGATTTACCTTTACTTTAAAATACCTACAAGAAATATTCACATTCTAATGCGGTCTAGCCACTGCTAACATAATTTATTGTCTATAGCTGCTACACTAAGATCTACTAACCAATATACAACATTCAAAGACTTACAGCTAGAAATGAATGAAAGACTGAAAGAATGTATATATATTTACTGATAGTTTCATCAGAAAGTATTTTTGAGAACTTTAAGCAAAAAAACTATATAACTGGGATGGGAACTCTAACATACATACCCCTTTACAAGTTTTTTGTTTACCCTATGGTATATAAAATACTTATATTATAATATATACTGAAGTCTTTTTCTCCCATAGATAGGTTTTGAATGACATAATTTGAGTTTGAGCTATTTCCTTTGGAAGTCATTTTCGAGGGATAAACCATCGATTTATTTATCTTACTAACCAAATTGAAACATGCAATTCACACAATTTTGATAAGAGATTCTTACTAGATCATAGTGATGAATTAAGCAAGGATACAAGAAATAAAAATTGTTCAGAGGAAACCTTTTCTAAAGTCTAGCGATCAGTACAACATTTCTGCACTTAGATCTCCAGCAAGGTGAAAAAAGGGAAGTAACTCTTGCTCAAAGTGTGCCAATTGAAACCTGTCTATTCACATTTTGCCTATTCTTTTAATTGTGACAATTCATTAGTGCTATCTGTATAACTTACCTGCAAATTTCTGCTGACAAAATTTAATAAAAATTATAGAATTTATGTCTAATAAAAACATCTTGTTTGGGATCAATTTTACAAGTGAATTCATAAACCATGCAAACTTCAATTGGTGTGAGGGGTGCAGAATGTTGTTAGATGTGCATCGAAACATTTCTTTAATCAACAATTCATATTAAATGATTTTTTTCTTTGCTTTCGTTTTTCATGTTCATGAAGTGATTTTGTGTCATGAATTTATGCACCATTCCCCATCTTTTCCAATATACTAATTCCATCTAAAACCTAAATTGTCACGGTAAATTTTAGTAAATGAATAAATATGAAATAAGATTAATTTGAAGTCTGTGATGTCTAGAAACACAATCACACACAAGAGCTCTACTGAAACTTTAACAAACATAAAAAAATTGTTGATTTTGTATCTTGGAAATTACATTTTACAGGAGTAATATATAACATGTTGATTTCTTTGAATTTAATTCTAAAATAACTTGAAGTTTTCTTCGTTTATTTACTCATAAATGCTTTTAAATATTGTTTAAATAGATAAGATTATATTACATTTTCAATCACAGTTCTTTAGAAGGCATTTTTTTACCTCAAATGTTTTTAATCTTGGGCAGCATTATAAATGAACAATTGTATTGGTCGTAGGTACCATGACGAACACTTAATTATTTTTGTTGAATTGTATCAGTGATGGGAGTAAAAAAAACTGGTTGTGTTCTTGATAACATTATTTCACATTGGGAGGAAGTGGTTTTTAACAATTCATGCCAGGTTTACACTTTGACCTAGATAACATTATTTCACATTGGAAGGAAGTGCATTTTAACGAACTCATGCCAGGTTCACACATTGACCTTACCGTCGACGAAGTTTACCAGGAGCACTAGCTGTCTGTCTCAAATTATCTCTATACATCAAATAAACACATGCTAATTACAAATATTTTAATTTTAATATTCTATTCTTGTTTCGAAATTACAATAGGGAACACATATTACATATTAAATGTCTTATAAAAATGGTTTAATTACTACAATAATTAAATATTTTAATACAGAAAAGATTCATATAAAAGTAACCATTAAAGTTGAATTAAAATTCATTACATCTAGCCAATCTCCCTCCGGTTAAGCAAGTTTACTACAGAGAAGTATTTATACATAGTAATACAATTTCCCATAAAAGAACAAAACCTTCCTACAATGTATAAACCCATAATGTGTAAATGATATTCCGTTTGCCATATTAAACAATGTATTGATTACCAAATGTGCAGCTTAAATGGCTGAAGAGCTTCTCGACTTGGTTTAATTCTGCAAATTTAAATTCTAATTTGTACGTAGCCTATATAGAAGCATTCATTTTCTTTTCTTCTTCTTGTGTTTATTGGACAGGTGATGATCCCTTCTTATTTTTACATTTACACAAATGTTATCTTTGATTTTACACATTTCATGATTATATATTTATATTTAACATAAAATTACATTGTATGCATACAAAATTTGAGTGCTGCATTTATAATATACTTGCATTTACAAAAACAAAATTTGGCTGGACGATATGCATCTGGATTTTTCTAAATTGAATGTATGAAGAGTTGAATGAATAAAATATAATAATTCAAGAATGAATAAAAACACCTAAGAAATATATTTTTCATACATGTTATTCTTATGATTTTCTCAATATTGTATAGCTTTCATTAACTAACTTATTTATTTTTTTTTTTTAAAAACAAATATCGGGATTGCTTAGCAACATCCTTTCAATCATAGCTTAGAAAATGCCCATCAAATTGTATCAAGTATTAGCAAAATTGAGACTTTCGGCTAACAATTTTGGTACATCGACTGTATTAAATTGATAATTGGCTAACTTAATTTTATCATACAATTATTCATATAACAGTTTGTGTAAAATGTTTATGAAATGACAAACATGCTTACAAGCTGCCAGTAACCTCAATTTGCCAATCATTATCTACAACTTTTGAAGCCAGCAAAAACTGAAGAACAAATGGTATTATCCTAATTTATCGTTAGATTAAAAAATGTATTGTAGTTAAAAACTTTAACTCAGTATACATAATTACGGCTAAATGACTTTTGATAGTTTCAGAAAGAAAAAACATTAATAAAAGTACAAATCACAAAACAACAATAAAGTGAGAAAATGATCTAATTTGAGTTTACCTGTTGATATAAGGTGAAGGTGATGCGCCATCAGGGACGTATAACCTGCCTGATACTGTGGGTGCTCTTCCCCTTCTTACTGATGATGGTCTTTGTGGAAGACGTGCTATAAAAATAAACCATGAATTCAAAGTTCCATTAGTGCCTAAAAGATGTTTTGGATAAACATTTCATTATATACTGAGTAAAAATAAAAGTTTACAAAAATATATTTTAAGAAAAAAATCTTTTATTTAAAAATTTTTCGAAGTTGGGGAAATAACTTGCATAATAAAATTTTAGTAATAATTTCACAATATGGCTTATTTTCTTTGTAAAGATAATTCATCTATTGTTATATTTAGGAGTAAAGTTTATTTTTGAACTATCAAATTTAATGTATTTAATTGTTGCTAAATTTTTTTTACTCAGTTTATTTTTCTACCTTTATGTAACAAGCAAACTTACTGCCTGAGAAAAACAAACTTTTCACAAAACTTTAAGATGCAACATGACACCACAGTATGCTATCATCTTTCTTAAGCACATTGAGAAAAGTTTTCTAAAGCTACTCAAATATTCATGATTTGGCCCCACTAACTGTGAGGCACTGACCTGTCATGTCTGACCTCAACGCATACCACTTGCTCTATTCATACAAATGCATTTTTGGAAAAAGCATAACTGCTGTACCATTATAGCAAAGTTATGAAATATTAAAGAGGGGACATAATAGAAATTTCTACACACAATTATCTGAAAATATATGGACCACAGATGGTATATCTGATCTAGATAATCTAAAGACTTCCCTACTGAAAATTTAATTGGGATTCCATTGAGATTTCAGAGGAATTCAGTGGAATTCCACTGGTGCCATTGGAATTCCACTGGCATTCATTGGAATCATGAATTACAATGGAATTCCACTGTAAAAAAATATGCATCTTCTGGAATCTCAACAGAATTCCAATGAAATTCCGTTTCAATGAAATTCCAATGGAAGAACAAATAAATAATTCTGCATGATCAATTTTATTTTTCCAGTGGAATTTTCCACAAAAAAATTGCAACTAAAAAAAATCATTCTGATTATAAATTCAATTATTCCTGGTAGTAACAAACTGATATCATACTGAATCAAGTCGTGCAAGAAGACCTATTCTTACTATCATTCTGTTAAAAAAATTACCCATTCAGGGCACTTTGTGTAAGAATTAATTATAACATAAATAAATTAAATTGTTAACTTTAATTTCTCTATATGTATATGGATTTGAACAAAAAGCAATAATATGACTTAATTTAATATACATTGTAAGCTTGTTAAAGGGTGGCAAATAAGTTAGCTATATGGGATTAAAAATAGTGTTATGTAGATTTATCTTAAGTATCATTCTGAGCAAACAAGAAAAATGGCAATTCAAGTTTATATACTGATTATAAATTATTAATTAAAAAATTGTAAAAACAGCAGGGTGTTATGTTCTTTCCATAAAACACTTATGAATGAGGAAAATAACACTTAAGTGTGTAAACTTTCTACTTGATCAGAAATTATAGAAAAAAAGATACAAAAGGTATATATGTTTCATAAAAGGTTCCATACATGTCTTACAAAATGTCACTTTCCTAATTATGCTCTAGTGTATTTGGAGGACAACTAATAAAAGATAACTGATCATTAATATCAATTAGAATACATTTCTTCTTCATACAAACAGCTGGAATAATTCTAATGTCTCCATATTGTTCAATTCTCTCTAAATGCTTGCAAAAACAAACATCTAACTGATCCTTTAAAATTTCATTTTTGATGTCTCTCTTTATCTGTACATCCAGACTAAACTTCACCGTTATTATTTCCTTTACAATAGCATAAAGTTCCCCAGCTTCCAAAAATGATAAAATGATTCCTTTTCCCTCTTCATTTCCATAAACATAGACTGCAATATAATCACTTCTAGTTTTGGCATTTTGGTAATCTTTTGAATAATATGTGTTTCCATCTAATGATAGTCTCCAAAAGAGTTTTGGAGACTGTTCCTGCATGTGTTCTGCTAACAACGCATAGTATCTGTGGTTGTTTTTCAGTTGAACCTTCCTCCCTAAAGCAGTGCAACCTTTTGGCAGTGTTTTTTCTTCTCTGAAATATAAACAAAAAGATGCTAGCCTTTCAAGTTATACATTAAAAGTAAGGTAATATATAATACAGAATACAAATCCCCAATATAAATCTCATTTATAAAAACCAATCTTATTTAAATTAGATCTTTCACTTTGCTGATTTAAAATCGCATGCACAGAGTTCTATTTTCAGATGTAAACTATAATTCAACAAATCATTTTAAATGACTATGATGGCCCTTTGATTTCAAATTGTCCTTAAGAAAATTTCATTTTTGAATTTAGTGGTTTTTCAAATTTTTTGTTTTTAATTGTTTTACATTAGTTATTTCATGCCCTATTATAGCTGACTATGTGGTATGGTCATTGTTGAAGGCCGAATGGTGACCTATAGTAGTGAATTTCGGTGTCATTTTGTCTCTTGAGGAGACTTGTCTCATAAGAATTCACACATCTTCTTTCTTTTACTATCTGAAACACATATCATAATAGTCTGGTAAGCTTTACTTACTGAACAATTTTTGAACCAAGTTTGGCAAATAACTGTTTTGTCTTCACATCATCAACATGTTCTTGAAAATTTTTCACTATGCCTGACAAAGCCTTCGACATACTGACAGCAAAACTAACCTGGAATACAATCATTGACATGCAGTTTAAATTGTTTGTATATGAAAGAACTAATTTTCACTTTTCCAATTACATGTGCTCTTATATATATACTCCTGAGTATTTTTCTATCCTACTAAAAATAATGTGACCATTTCATATGATATAAAACAGACTATTTTGAGTCCAATATATTTTGATCCAGCATGGCCATCACAATTTTTGACATTTGAGATACCGTTTCCATACTCTACATTTTACTTTGATGAATAATAATAATCATGTTTCAATCCCATATTACATGTACCTGTTTATTTATGTGGGAGGTTCCGTGCACCATCTGTTTGATAAAAGAGTTCATAGATTCAAATCCAAAGCAGGAGTATCCAAAAAGTGGTCCATACATTCTAACAAAGTATGCTAGATGTCTTATCAAGTGAACATTCATTGTTTGTGACACATCACCTAAAAACCATAAAAATAAATCTTCATGTGATCAGCTTAGTTATAAAAAAATTAAAATGGAGAATGTGTCTATGGGACACAGATGATATGCAACAATCCATGAGATAAGTGATACTATGAATAAGTCCTACTTGTTTTTGAGTTTCAGTTATCCATGCTATTGAGTGTTAATAGGCACCATTTAACAGAACAGTAGAAAGATTTATATTCACTGTGTTTAAATTCTTAATTTGAATAAATAGTTAATAATCATAGAACGTACACATATATGTGAATAACCATAGAACATACAAATATATGAATAACCATAGAATGTACAAATGTGTGCAATAATTACCATATATCTTTGGATATACCATACAAAATTTATTCAACAGACTTTCAGCAATGACAACATCCTCAACAGACAAATCATCTCTTATTAAGGTAGTTACCCCTGTTACAAACAAGAGGTAGTGCACATACACTTCTGATTTCAGCACTTTATACAGAAGTGGAACAGAAAAATGTATTAACCATTCTCTGCATTCAGAAGCTGGAATAATAAAAAAACCCTTATTATAACACTTTAAACACAAACACATGTTAAGTACAATCCTGAAGAGTTACAAAGGAACATTTATATGGTGAGCTTAATGATGAACATGGAAAATCAAAGGCTCAGGCATATGATGTACTTGTTTAAAACAGTCTTTGTATATGTATGTGCCAGTCAGGAGCCTGCAATTTAGTGATTGTTGTTTGTTGCTGTATAAATCATGGGGCTTTTAAAGATTGCTATGAGTCATGTGTTTTGCCTATTGTTGAAGGCTGTAATAAATGGTAAAGGCAAATAAGTCTATATACCTTTCCAGTGTGCATGATCTGCAATTGTCCTCTGTCTTCTAGACACAAAGTCGGGAATTGGTATCTTTAAAAATCTTTTGTCAAGTAAGGCAATCTGAAAAATCAATTTTATCAGATCAAAACAACAATTCTCTAATACATCATTGTGTGGTTCTTTTGATATATTTTTTTTATGGGTCAGAATTCAATCATGACATTAAATTTTCCTACTTTTTTTACTTTAACCATGGTAACATGAACAAAAAATTATATGAATATATATAAAAAATAAAGGCCAACAATAGGATGATAGGTCTGCAACACAGTGAGAAAATGTAAATGAACTAAAACAAAAAATCATACAAGACTAAGGCCCTCTATACATATGTTAAGAGTATAGAAACATGATAAATACCTGGTTTCCGATATAAAAACTTTTGTCTTTGTTTTTTGCATCAAACCATAATTTCATTAGAGCTTTGGTAACACCAAGCAACACAGAATGCATCCAGTCAATTGCTAATGCTTTTGGCAGATCCAGATATTTCAACATCATAAGTGAAGACGCACCTTTTATACCATTTACCTAAAAATTAAACAAGTTTCACTAGAGGAAAATCCTATATAACAGACTTATGAACATAATTATTCAAACTTAATAAGCTTTCTTATTTAATATTAAGTTTAATCAAACTAAGGCATTTATCATGTTATATCTATAAAAACTAGTAATTAATAAGTATTTCATCAAAAATTTAATTCTAGGGAAAGTTAAAAAATGAGTCAATTCCCTTGGAATAGAAATCTAGTAATTAATAAGTATTTCATCAAAAATTTAATTTTAGGGAAAGGGCTTTAACTGAACAAGGAGAAAAGTTAAAATCGTGAAAATCGAACTTGACCTGTAACTTGTCATGATAAAACACTACACCAAATATAAAATAAATATCTTCAAGCATGAAGAAAAAAAGTCTGGAAAACTGTTTTGCCGGACTGACGGATGGACAGACGGACGAACGGACAGACAAGACTGACAGAGTGCAAACCTAAAGTCCCCTTCGACTTCGTCGGTAGGGGACTAATCAGCAATGATCTTGCTCAACCAAAAAATGAAGAAATGTACAAAAAAAAAACAACATACAGCATTTACTTCTTCTACAGCTCTGCTTGCATCATTCACCATGGACTGATGTGTTCTAATAACTGAATCTTTATTAAAAGGGTAATATCTCAGCATAGGTTGACCAGGACGTGTTGTTCCTTCGTCGAGGCATACACTGCAACTTGATTTTCCATTGAACTGCTTCATATTTGAAACTATTGCTCTAGCTGGTAAATCCACGGAAACTATCAGCAACTTGGCTCTAACCAAAATAATTCCTTTTGCTGTATCTACTTGCATTCCTAAATAAAATTGTATTCAATAATAAAAAAAAATACAAGCATACATGGTAGTCAAAACTCTGAAAATTGTTTGTATTTGTACTGATATTGATTTTTTTAAACATTTAAACAGGACATATTTTATATATAATTTAATTGTTATTGCTATATATGTCTGTATGTACAGTTATGTGCTATGTACATGTTTACCACTGCCCCAGGTGCATTAGGCGCCCATAAATATGTTTCATGCTGCCAAATTCTTTACGGGTCTATGTCTGTACCAAGTTAGAAGCCTTTAATTTTGTGGTTGTTGATTCACGTCTGTCAAATTTTGGTTTTTTTTGTTACTTTATCATTTGTCATGATCAGTAATTTGCATTTCTTAATCAAATTAATCCAAATTTTATTATTTTCCTCAGACTTGGTTTTGCTTACAATATTTCTTGTTTTTTTTTTTGTTTACTCCCAAGTATCATGTACCGGTGTGCGACGTGATCTTTGACAGTTGTCATTTAATTTTAATATTCAAAGCATAATTTAAGATTCTTTGCAATATAGAGCTGGATCTACATTGTGGGCATTTGCTTTTATTTAAAAATATGTTGACAATCATGACAATATAAGTTTTGATCATTTGAATAAGTGCATGGATTGTAGCTTTCTGGTGTACCCTACCTCACATTATTTATAATGATAGTATTCTAAGTTAAGGCTTTATACATTTAGATTGGTACCTGTTTCACTGAGTTCATTCAAAGTAGTCATCATAGGCTGTAAATAGGTGACCATATTTGGTTTTTCTGTCTGACAATGCAGATAACATGGAATAAGGTATTTCCTGCTGTACCTGTAAAAATAGTGTGTGACATGTATTATGACTATATATGTATATAATATTGGCCAGTGGGTCTAATCCTTAATAATACAAACCAATATATATTGTTCTTAAAACGAAAAATTCACGTGACTATTTGAGATCATGTCTTCATACATGTATGTCTTCTGATGTCAAGTATCATGAGTATAGCTTAATTGACACATGTAAAAGATAGCAGTTACATTAATGTACAACTAAACATATTTTTACAACTAAAATTATGCATCTACATGTAAGGGACCGAAATAAAACTTATATACTTTTGCAAGCAGATGTAGTATATATAATAATAAATTGCTTAAATCATGTGAAGAAATATTGAATAAAACTATTGTTTATACAAAATTAATAATACCTAATTAGGTGCTTAAGTATCAAGAATCATTTATGTTACCTTAGTTTCACAGGAAGCTCGTTCACTGCAATGTACACTGGCCACAAACTTCCTTTTTTAGACGATGAAAATAAAGCTACACCATCAGTATTCATAGTTAATGTTAAATTGAGGCCTTCTTCTGTTGCTTGTGCCATTGTTTCTTTATATCTGCTTCCTTGCACTATATCTGTTAAACCAGGCTCTTTTGTTTTTTCCTTCTGTTTCTGGACCAGTTTTATGAAATTTTCCTCTGAAAATATGTAAACTAGGTTGTACATTGTTTTTAACACAGTGTAAGTAAACAATTGGCAATTAAATAACACCACAAACATTATTACAATTTGAAACAATCTAATAAATATTACTTTTTTTTGTGACTACAAGTCAGGAATACATGTATGACAGTTGTTGTCCATTTGTTTGATGTGTTTTATCATTTGATTTTGCCATTTGATTAAGGACTTTCCGTTTTGAATTTTCCTGGGAGTTCAGTATTTTTGTGATTTTACTTCTTTTTTTTTTACACAAAAGTAGAAAAAAGTAAAAAAAACAAATGTATTAATATATAACGTACAAATGTATGCAGTTATAATTTGTGAATTTACAGATTCTTCGTGTGAACATAAGACAATATCACTATATAATATTTTTTAAGAAGAAGAAAACAAGAAAATATGATTATCATGATATCATTTTCAATTTTGAGATCAAATTAAAACATATTGATTATTAAAATTTGTTGAACTGTTCTGGAAAAGTATAAAGATGTTGACGAATTATAGTAAAAACATACCTCCACACAATTTCTTCAGTTGTTCCTTCATATTCAAATCATAGAATTCCAAGGCAGGTGCTTGATTTCTTTGACAAACATTATTTTGGCAGACTTCATTCTCTTTTAATGACTTCTGGCAGCTTTCACAATAAAAATGTACAATAGGGTCATTAAAATCTAGTTTTTTCTTCAACAGTTCTTTAACCTTGTATACTGAGGTTGCAAAGTTGGCTGATTCAGGTAAAAGAGCAGATATAATTTGCAGAAGCTCTTCAAATCCATCTTTGGATAGTGATTGCTTGGTAACATACAACATTATCATTGAATACACTGCAAATTTGCTGAGTCTACAACCATCATACAATGGTTTAGCAAGATCCTCATCAAGTTCATTTTCTGTGGATAAACTTTCATCGGAAAATGATTCACCATCACTGATGTCATCAGATGAATGACTATCAGGTTCACTATTTTCTACATCAGTATTACTGGAAGAACTATAGCTAGTACTAATGCTAGTTGTGAATGCATCGGAATTAGACATTGGCGATACTAATAGAGAATGTGATGAGGACGGACTGTGAATTGCCAAATGCAATGATTCTGATTCATCGGAAATCGAGTCTTCATTTTCTGGGATTGCACCTGGGGTTATATTCCCAATGCCTTCTTCGTCTGTTGTTATGTCCATTTCTGTCTCACGTGTAGGTTGTGACGCACCATGGCCAGTTCTACGATTTCGTATACTTTTTGTTGAGGTTTTTGGCAAACGTTTTTCTGGCGAAATTCGATGATATCGAGCACGACGCTTCGAAAACCCATCAGCGATAGAATTTTTATACCTCTTTTTCTGCGGCGTTTGGTATTCGTCTAAATCTGACGAGGCAGAATCATTTGGTGATTCTACATCTGACGGAGACGAAATTGTACTTTCCGCCATTTCCATGAACAGACATTTACCTCAATAACTGACAAAACGGAGTTGATTCTATCTAGGTCTCTTATGAGTGTAACAGTTCTTTACGGATAAAAATCTTCTATATGACATGGAAAACATAAAACATTTATTCATAATATTTCTGCAGTGTAATAAATTTCAATTATATATGTCGACATTCGTTTTGTTAAAATACGCAATTAGTTTCGTATTTATAATAATATTTCCAAAATATAAATTAAATAGGAAAGTATTTATTTTTTCTTGTACCTAAAAAGTTTTAAATGTTTTTTGAACACTTACTTAAAGTCAAACTTTTTTTTATTAAATGTCATCATATATATTCGAAAATAAAACTTACAAACAGCGGATTTTTCAAACAGAAAAGATGTATCAAGTTACATTTTGACTCGCCTTCCGCCTTCCCGTTCCCGCTTTTATAACCTAACATCATGGAAGACATGGAAGAAGAACGAAAATTATTTGCTATATTCGACTGGGTTGATGGGTATTCTGTTCAGACACTAACAGCCATTGTTAAACCGAGGAAAGATGTAGGAGACTACGAGAAAGGAGAACGTGTCCAGGCCAAGTGCTATGGGCATCCTGGATTACACTGGGGCACTCTGGCAGCGATAGATGGTAAGAATACATTTGTATGTCTCCTTTTATTTGTTTTGTAATTACCAAAACAAAATCAAAACGTGTTTTTTTTGTTTATGAGTATGAATATTATAGGAGTGAACTTTAAAAAAAACATGCTTTAGAGATGTTAACTTTTGGCCATGAGGCTGTAAAAAACATTAGAGATGTTAACTTTTGGCCATGAAACTGTTCAGCCTCAAGTCGTTTCAGCCATAGACAAGTCTGGTCTTGGTCGTTTCGGTCCAGTATACTTTATCCCTAAATGTTCTATCAATATTTTGAATGAAAAATAATAAGTAACTGGTAAGAAATTATTTCTGAAATGCATGTGATATACATGTACATGTAGACTTTTTAAAATTCTATAAATAATCGTGTCCATGAACCAATCTTAGCAAAACCTACTTATATTATATATTGCCTATAGGATATTTTATTTCTTGTCCGTATCAAGTTTCTTTAATTATTTTCCATGTATCGCTGTGCATATGTATGTGGCCTATGGCCTATTATAAATCTTGTTTTGAAAAAGAATGCCTGAACTTTTTGCTGTTCCATTTGGGGAATTGTACAAATCCATGTTACATTTATTAAAAGGATCACAGTAGTGTACATGTGAAAAATGAAAAGAAGACTTGTACTGTTTAATTCACAATACAATTGACTATTGTCATGACTGTTGATATATCTATATTGCTATAGTCAATAATTTTTTTTAATGTTTACAGCAAGTGTTAAAATATAATTTTATATTCTAAATAACAGTGAATTAAGGCTATTGACTTTTTGTGGCAGTTCCAGACCGTATGAGTATTTGGACCGTACGCGTACGGTCTGGACCGTATGCATACTTTTTCAAAATACTCATACGGTCGGACCGTACGCGTACGGTCTGACTTATATTAAGAAGTTGGTCAATTTTATAAGATACAAATGCATATAGCAGATCAACATAACTTAACTCTCAAATTAATATAAAAAAGTTCAATTGTAATTGAAATAAAAACTTAATATTTTAACTTTTTAAAAAATTCACGCTAATTAAATCTGTTAATCTCTTGTATTTAGCATGTCGATCAGAAATACATTAATTGAATTATGATTACTGAAATTGAAGATATCGGAAGTAAACATAATGTGGGAGGACAATTGTTTTAGAATATTTAGCAACTTTACAAAAAAATGCAAATGCAAAGGAACATGCATGAACTGCAAACATGTTTATGTAAAAAAATATTACATTACTTGTGGTAGCAAGTGTCACCTTGGGCGAGAGTACCAAAATAGGATTCGGATATACAATTAAACAAATATTTAATTTCAATTATTCGTTTGTTCATTTTATCCATCTAATTGTAATAATAACAATTTGTAAAACTAAAAATAAAGATTGTGATAAATGTTTGTTTAAACTTAACACATATGATCCAATAACATATGTATGGTCAGCTCGTACTGGACCATATGTGTATAGTCATACGGTCCGACCGTACGCCTATGGTCGGACCGTACGAGTATACGTATAAGGTCCGGACCGTACCATACGGTCCAAATACTCATATGGTCTGGAACATATATATATGCTTAAAAACAATAATTATGAAAATGTAAAATTTTATTATCCATATTTGGAACTTATATTAATTTTATTCCTCTTTTACAGGTGATAAAATCTGGTTAAATCAAAAGGCAAAAGGCACAAGACCAATTATAGATGAAAGGTATATATAATATTCCCTAGAAATCTTAAACGTTATCTAAAATTAACTGTTTTGACACATTTATAACTTCTGCTTTCAAATATGAGACCTATATATATAATGTTGATTTAGCTAGGTTTAAAACAGGTTCAATCCACCATTTTCTACATAGGAAAAAGCCTGTACCAAGTCAGGAATTTTAATTCTAATAACTTTTTTTCAGGACTAACAATGATGGAAAGGACACTTCTGCAGAGCAAAAGGTATTTAAAATTGTTAAAGTCTATAAAGAGATATAGGAAGATGTGGTATGAGTGCCAATGAGACAACTCTCCATCCGAGTAACAATTTATAAAAGTAACCCATTATAGGTCAAGGTACGGCCTTAAAGGTTTATTATTTCAGTTATTTGTATAAATAGTGGCAACCTGGTAATATTGGCAATGTGGTTATTTTCTGTTATTTTTGCTACTATTTAAAGTCATAATGATTGCTGATAAAGTATACGATACAGCGGAAAAGTGTTCATTGTATCATATTCTCTATTAAATGCCAAAAGAATACATGCATGAAAACAGTATATTCATTGATAAACAGTGTAATGTAAATCATTTTGCCGAATTTAATTATTCACTACACATTCTTAGTACGAAGTTATGCCTTTCATATTTTGATATATTCTGTATTGCAGGATGAGTCCAGAAATGAAATTTCAAACACTAAAAAAAGGAAAATCAACAAGAGGATTGAATTTGAAGGCGAAAAAGACTTGTCATCATCTGAAGAAGAAAAAGTAGAAGAAGAAGCAGATGAAGATATGGTGGTCATATTACCTCCAAAAAAAAAGGGGAAAACAGTTAAAATGATAGATGAGGTACATCAAGGTTTCAATTTACCAGGCAAAATCCTGAAAATTCTCAAAATAAACAGTCATCACAGATGACTTAAAAAAATGTGTCAGACAACCTTACACGTTGCAATTTACTCGAGTATTATGGCCAGGCAGCACAACAAATATTTCACATGAGAATGAAGCTTAAATTCTGTTATGGGAATTTACCGGTACTGCAAATTATGTTATATAAAATAGTAGCTGTAAACATGCCTCTTGTAAATGATTTTAAACTTATGTTTTCATTCATTGACATGTAAAATGATAACACCTTTAAAGAGTTAAAAATTATTATGATCATGTGATTGACTTAATCAGAGAAGACCAAAATATGTATGATTACTTAATTTGCTGTACTTTTTTCTGATTTTAAGCGAAACTTTGTGATTCATACTTTTTTCCCTCATATTAGGGGAAGAAAGCCAAGGCCGAGGCTAGTAAAAAAAAGAGGGAAGTGAACAACGAGAGAAAGAAGGTTGCAGAAAAGTTATCAAAGGTCATTCTAGATACGCCGGATACAAAAACATGCAGCTGTAATCCAGAAACTATCCAAAGAATAGAGAATAAGGTATGTATGCTGTTCACTTTTTATACATTGGACAAAATTTCATGTGAGATTTCCTTTACTTTAGCAATGTTGGTTTATGGGCTTTCTTATACCAGAGTTATGATTCACACCTAAATGTAAATGAATTGATATTGGATCAATTTCTATGAAATTATGTCAAGGATATAATCACAAATTGTATAAGAAATAAACTATAATTAAAGATGCACATTTTTTGCCTTGTAAAATATCACATGCTTTAATTATTTTACTATATAAACTTGCCTATCGCAATGATAGATATTATTGTTTTAGTATTTTCCTAGTTTCATAGAAATTGCTAAGCGTTGTAAGATGGCTGTTATCAAAATAACCTCAGATCTATTTGAAATTTAGATGTTACAAACCAATGAAATTTAGATGTTACAAACCAAGCCTGGTTATATTATAAAACTTGAGGGTTATATTTTTTTCAGTTAGACCAGGTTCTTTGTTTGGTGGAATCCCTTGCAGAATGCAAATATTGTTTAAAAAAGGCATATAAGGTATATTTATTAAATCAATGTTTACTTGCATGTTTAGACGTGTACTGTCACTTGTTTAAAGCCAATTACAGTGTAGACAGCATTTAAAAATGTATTGATTTTTTAATAAACACATCGTCAAGTTATAGTCAAGATAGTAGTCTATTTTCTGATAAAATTTTCTGTCATTAGATTAAATATATATATCAGGCCTAGATAAAAATTTAAATGTTAGAAAACAAATCTTTGGAAAAAGTCTTTGTTTGTAACAATATCTATACATGTGTTTGAAAAATTAGTAGCAACATGTTAAAAAAATTAAGCAAATCAAAAATTGAAGAATTTAATATAATGAATCCAAGACAAATTGAATGCTGAGATCATGTTTTCATATTTCAGTTATTTGATATATAACATTTATGGTCTGTTAATGATTTGATATTGATATCAACAGACAAAGTTCTTTTCATCGTTTTTGATAGAAAAAATTCTGTGAACACTTTCCAGTCAGTTCTTTGGCCATTAATATAAATAACAAAAAAGATACCTGTATTAAATATGAGGAAAAGTCATTTATGAGGCACCCAAAAAATACATTTTTATTGTGATTGTCAGGACTGTTAAAATACAATATCCTGCCTGCCTGGTAAGCTCCGATACTAAGGGCAGGGGGAGTGGAAACAAAACATTTTCTTAAATTTTGCCTTAGTTTCAACAGAATTATGTCTGGCAATTGATAACAAAATTTAAATCTTAAATGTATTTATATTTTTCCTATTCTCTAGGTGCATGCTCACTGATCAGAAGTAATGTAAGGAGTTTTCAGTTAACAGTTTGCATGTAATGGTTTAAGTCGAAACACATTCCATTTGTGTTCCTTTGCATGTCTGCCTACTTTATCGATTGACATAGATAATAAGCACTGTAAGCATTTTATATCAGTTTTATGCATATAATTATATTTCTATACATTCAACAGATTTTGTACAAGACAAAGATATAAGAATTGTGTTACTGTCTTCTAAGATCTCATTCAGACTATTTGTTTTCTTGTAAGAAACTAAGGTTTCATACAACATACTCCCTCAGGCAAAGTTGACCTAAAATGGATTTAGCTAATTTTTAAGATCCTATAAGCTCTTCAACTGTTTCTGGTCCTATACATCATCGGCTTTCAAATATTTTGCTTTGCACATAGATATGAAGGTAAATCTAGAAAAGCTCTTATATTTAGATGCATGAAATTTATAACATATGTTGTTTTATAAATTAAATGATAAAACAACATTTGCATGGTATATATATCTTGTGAGATGTCAGTATGCAGGCAAACCTATTCCTTCTTTTTAAATGATCTGCAAAAAGATGTGTTCTTTCTATGTGATGTTATCAGAAATGGTCGCCTTTTTTTTATGCCATCACAATATAGAGGAAATTCTGAGAAAAGCAAGAAAATTTGATGTCATAATAGAATTTTGACCATTGAAGAACTTGTGATCAAACGAACTACATGTTGATTTAAATAAAAATAATAAACATGTCAGGGAAAGGATAAATCGTGTAAGAATTAGAGAAATATATATATATATATATATATATATATATATATATATATAGGTTTTCATGGTGATAATTACTAGACTTAATAATCAAAGTATTCATGTAACTATAGAGATAATCTTAAATTAACATCAATCTCACAGATGTCATTACCTAAATACTGCTTTTTTTTTAAGTAAGTGACTTAATGTATATAAAAAACAAAATATACACTTTTTTAATTATAGCGAACAAGTGAGAAAGTCCCGGCTGCATCTACACCATGTACATCATCTGGTAGTTCTGTAACGGTTAAAGAGATGGTTTCTACTGACAACCACAAAAACCATGAAAATGATAAGAAAGAGACAGAAAAGGAAAAGTCAATTAGTGACGATTTAAATAACAGTAAGTTCATTATACTGATTGGAAAACATACATATTGTTCTGGGTAGTCTTAATTTCCTAATGCGTCAATCATCCTACTTTTGAAAAGCTTTAAATGATGATCAGAACAATCTCCATGGTCAAACCATATGCTCATTTCAAACACAGGTAACTATTTTTTGCACCACTGACTAAAAGAAGAACCTAATATTTATACTAGGTTACAACAAATACAATTAAGGGTCTCTGTAAGTTTAATTATTATATTACTAGTCGGTGAACATTGAGTTTGTTAGTTCAAATCCTGTACGGGGCAGATGCACTTGACTAATCTTAATTCGCTAGGATTGAGAGTTTTCCTACGGATGGTCAGTGGTTCTCTCAGTGCACTCCAGTTTCCTCCACCAATAAAAAACCAACTGCCATGAAATAGCACAATAGTGTTGAAAGTGGAGTTATAAACAAATCAATCATATATGTTACCATATAAAAATCAATGTTAGCTTTTTTACAACAAAAATTTATAAGCTGCATTTTAAAAGGTTCTATAGTTTTAGTACATTTTATTGAATATAGTTTCAGCAATTGAAGAAACTAGCTTCACAGTTGGAGAAAGGGATAAAAGTGATGAGGATGAAGAAAAAAATGATGGTAAGCATTATCTTTTTTATAGAATTGGAGTGGAGAAATTGCATGGTAATATGGCAATTGGAAAATATCTGTCAACAAATTTTGAACATTAAATTATTGGTCTAATATTGTTTTCTGCAATTATAAGTCCTCTTAAAGGAAAAACTGAAAATTTAGGGATATATAATATACTTGTATACAATTTGACTGATTTTTTTTTAAGTCAACTTAACTTCTAGGAAGACAAAATGAATATGTAAATTTAAGTAAATAATGTTTTCTAAATAACGAGAATCAATATTTAATTGATATTTTCTTTTTTTGTCTTTCTCTAGAAACAACATTTGTTGGACCCAGAAAATATGGGGTAACAATATCAACAGAAATTCTAGAGCGTTCGAAGAATGTATCAAAAACGCCTGAAAAGTTGGTCCTGAACATAATTAAATACATGTTAACGGATTATGAAATTAATAATTGTACTGTATATGGGAACAAACAGTTCAGGAAGGAGGCGCTTCCTGAACAAAAGAGGAAAGCAATCAGAAGTAAGTATATGCATGGTTACTATAATTTTTTTGGTGATTCATTATATATGTAATTGAATATCATGCACATATTATATATATCAATCTAACAATTTTATTCTTATTATGCTGGAAGGCAGATTAAGTCATTTCACCAGAACTTCGCTTTAAATCACTGAAATATTTATAGCAACCTTCAAATTAAAAGAGGGACGAAAGATACAAGAGGGACAGTCAAACTCATAGATCGAAAACAAACTGACAACGCCATGGCCAAAAATAAAAAGACAGACAAATAATAGTACAGATGACACAACATAGAAAACCAAAGACTAAGCAACACGAACCCCACCAAAAACTGGGGGTGATCTCAGGTGCTCCGGAAGGGTAAGCAGATCCTGCTCCACATGTGGCACCCGTCGTGTTGCTTATGTTATTACAAATCCGGTTAATAGTCTAATTCGGTAAGTCACATTCGTGAAAAATTATAAAAAATTAGCCATATAGCTTAAACCATAATATCTTGGTGCCAGCTAGGATTACACCCTGTGTTCCATCCCCCTTGCTTGATTGAATTACCCTTATGGACAATTACTTCAGACCCTGGAATTGCCCTAAACTTCTCTAAGGTGTAACATAATGTACATGTGTTAAAGATTACTGTTATTATTGTTCGAGAAAATGGTGATTTGGTGTAAATATTAATTATTTTCCTATAAGCAATATGATTTGATTGTCTGAAACTAAGCATAGAACGACTGATTTACCTACTATTAAAAATAACAATATTTTGGTAATAAAATACCATTAGAAACAAAAAATATTTAATACTTGAAGGACATAACTTTTATTAATAGCTTAAAGTGTTCATATATGTCATTTAAATACATATTTTAAAATTATTTTAGGTGTTGTGCTTGAAACATTCCCTTCCTGCAAGCTTGAGGAGATCTGGTGTAGATTAGTGATTGTGATAAATGACAAAATTAGAGGACTAAGAAACGGGAAATATAAGGACTAGACTTCGTAATTTTTTGAATGATTAAAAATTAATTTGGATTTAAATTCGTTTTTGTTCATGCAGGCCATAAATTTGTACTTCATATTTGCCTGACACACTTGTGAGTATGATTTAGCAATATTCAATAGAAAATTTTAAAAAAAACACAAGCATGACAAAACAAAAATATAATATGACATCAAATTCACTCAATATGGAAAAAACAATGAAGTTTTTCTGCAGATGGAAATCAACACTAACAAAAACATATTCTTTGTCCAGTGGTATTTCATTGAAATGTCAGTGAAATTTCATTGAAATATCAGTGAAATTTCATTGAAATATCAGTGAAATTTCAATGAAATATCAGTGAAATTGCTTCGAGTTATCAATGCATTTCCATTGGGATTCCACTGTTTTTTCAGTGGAATCTGCTGTGGATTTACACCGAGATTCCAGTGGAAATCCATTGGTATCCCAATGAAATCCTAAGAAAGTCCAAAGAAAATCCCGACCAAATTTCCCAGTGTGAATCCAGTGGAAGTTCCAGTGGATTTCCACTGGAACTTCCACTGGAAATCCCACTCAAGATTTTCAGTAGGGTTACATTTCTATAAATAGTTTGATACTTGTGGAAATTTTATATTCATGGATATTTCTTAGTATTGCAGAAGTCTTCTTAAAAGCCTTAAGAAAATATATACTTCTTTATACATTTATATTCGTGTTTTAAACATAGCCAAAAAATTCACAAAATTTGGTACCAAACTAATAATTATAAATCACAGTATTATAAACTTATCTTTCTTCAAAAAATATATACAGATAATTGTTGACTTATACAAAAAATGTACAAGTATGTTGTTTTTTATGTTGTGTTTGGTAGACTGTTATTGGTAGTTTTTGTTAGTTTTTTGCCTTGTCATTGTCAGCTTGTCACGGACTTTGGAGTTTGAATATCCCTAAGGTATTTTTCCCATCTCTTTTACCAAATGATATACTTCCACAGTTTGAGACAGACTCATGCAGATTCTGACGATTTTTTACTGCCTATACTCATTGTAGTTATGTCGAAAATTTTTGCAAGAGGAATATTATTTACCAATTTTGTGGTTAAATTTGGTAAAAAGTCCATTCCCTGGGAAAAAAATGTACATGCACTAACATCAAATCAATATTTTCAATTAAATGTTATGGTAAAATGGCATGATACCTTTTTATGACTTTTATACTTCAATAAAACGTAAAGATTAAGCCAATTTAAAAAAAATTCAAACCTACCAGAATAAGTATTTTTACGAGCCCACCAAACATCTGAAACTAGATCAAATGAAGTATGGAATCGCTCAAACACAAAAAGCGGTGTTTCAGATTTGCTATCTAAAATATCCATTTTTGATAACTTGTCACTACCACATTAATTTCCATAAGAAAAAGAGCAGAGAAGATTTCATGGAGAATGAAGTTCTGACATTGAAATTCCGACAAGGATATATATATATGTTTTAAATTCCCCACACAAGTGTGAAGCTGTCACTGCTATACAATATATAATTTAAAACACCCAAGACAACACAATGAGATATTATAATGATGATTATTTGTAAGATAATTGAGTATTTAAACTTCAGAAAAGGGTTAATATATACAAAATATCAATATTGTATACATTATGAATATGGGTATTTGTAATATATATATGTAATAAGAAGAAAAAAAACATTTTACAAATCATTAATAGAGTCATCTTTGTTCTACAATTTAGTTTTAAATACTACAGTACACATTTCAAAATTTAAATGAAAATATATGAAAGAAAGATGTGGGTCTTTAAAAATTTGTCTTTATGTCATCGCGTTGTTGAGTTTCTGTCTTAAATATACCAAAAATAAATAAGACCAATATCAGTTCTACACCTGCATTGCCGTCTATAATTGATTAAAATTTCAAACTATCAGCTAACAGTAAATAGTTGCACAGCAGATCTAAAAATAGCTAACAAACTATAACTCAACATTTAATATCAAGCTGCAGACCAAGTATATATATTCCGAAACGGAGGGACAGAATAATGGTTTGAGCCCAGCGGTTACTAGGCCTGTCTTAGCCAATGGCAACAAAGGTGAAAAGTTACATTAAACCTAGAATCATGCAAATTAAGAGCCTACAACAACAAATTTATACGCATAATAAATATTAACTCCGCTGAGAAAATAAAATTCAGATCTTCTATATAGTTAAAAGAATCAATTGTGCACTGTTCATGTCCAATTCATTTAAATTTCGCAGTTTAATTATTAATATTTACAAAATCTTTTTTATTCAATTATTTAGATAAAACATCATATCATACATGTCATATGGCTTCGATTTAAAGACATTTAATTTGTCAATTATTACTTGTCAATTAAAAAAAGAGAAAAACTATGCAATCATTTCAATTGTAAGCAACAATGATAAAATTATATTTTTTTTAGGTTTTTATTTACTTTCTCTAGGGAAATTTAAGATACATTTAAGATACTTGGTGCTGCCTTCAAAAATGTCTAAACGAAGTTCATTCATGAACATATATACCTGGAGAAGTGACAGCAGATGTCCTGCCAGAAGCCATTGCATCAACCGTCAAAAACGGCTCAGTCTGAAAATATAAATACACAAAACTTTAACAATACATTTGATCTTTTTTAATGATCACAATCTAAAACTGTGTTTATTTATAATTCTGTTAATCAAGGTATGTTACAGTAACACTAATACAAAATTACAAATATGTATAAACACAAATTCTTTGTAATTTTAATGATCTTTGATACTGTGGATTCATTTATTTTCAAGGGAACAAATTTTCAGGGATTGAGCATGTTGAGGAAAAAATTGTTTTTCATGGATATTTGATTTCGTGGTTTTGCCAAAATCAGCATACAAACCTATAGAAAATGTGAACCCGTTAAATTTTTAAATTCGTGGTTACCCTATTTGCAAGAAAATCCATGAAAATTGGTGCCCACAATTAATAATGAATCCCCAATACTCTATTTGAAAATTTTGTCTCCACTTTTCTGAAACCTCAACAATTGAGAGAATATTGAATTAATACAATGTCTTTTTTTGTTGAAGACTGTATGTTACCTCTACATGTACATGTATTATGGTTTTTTGTGTTGTTGGGTCGCTGTCTGTTGATGTATACCCTGTACATTTCCTTTTATATATATATCATGTCTTTTCTAATCGGGACCTAAATTGAACCGTAGTTAACAGATTTGAGTTGAACTTGATAGCATATATTGTCAAGAACATTATATATGGGCATAATGTGGCATGCACAGTTCAGAATTCATGAACATGGGTTTATAAAGTACAGTCAAGATTTTCAGTCTACAGCTCCTATAAGAGTCAAAAATTTACATTGTAGGCCTAAATAAATTTTGAGTCAATGAAGCATGTGTTAAAACTATTCCAGATAAATTCAGACTTTTCTTTACACATCAAGTAAAAATGTGTACAACCAAGTACAACAATTGGTCTCCTCTCAGTTCGAGTGACATTAGTCAGCTGTGTTGTCTTTACATCTATAACATCTACAAATGTATCAAATGTATGTACTTACCTTTATTAACAGTCAATATATTGTAAAGTCACCATTATTCATGTTATTTACAAATGTTCATATACAATGGTAGACTTTAAATACTTAAATATAGTAGTGCTACGAGTATCTTTTGTATTCTACAGTGCATACCTTTGTTAAAAATATCACAATAAAACAAAGATTTTTTTAAATAGATACATTTGTAATTTAACCTTGATCATCCTGTCATCTGCAATTTATAGCTTCTTATACATTGAATGAGGGTCTGGATACAGGGTCCTTTATTTCTTTATTCTTTCATACTTTAGGCCTCAAATTTTTTCTCTATACTTTTTTATTTTGCTCATTATTCTGTATTCTTTATACTTTAGCCCCCATTATTCTCTATCCTTTATTTTTTTGAACTATTTTTCTCTTTTCTTATTTTTTTCCATTTTTCTGTACATAGTTTTGGCCTGTTATTCTCTATTTTGTAAACCTCATCCATATGTACCCTCTTGTATAGTGTGATCTTACAATTGATGAAGACAATGAAAGATTTAAAGCAGTAAACAGAAATAAAAACAACAAAGAACAGGTCCAATAAATGTTTTATACTTTGTGTTAGAATAAAGCATTACATAACCATGTGATTTTTCCTCAAAGGAAATTGGCAGGTATGTACAAAATCTAAACTCTAACGTCTTTCAATATTAATGATATTATAGATACTGTAAATTCAGAAATATATTTGTGCTTATTTATCACTGCAATTAATATGCCATGGACACAAATTTATGTGAGATTTATTATTGTGATTTCAAAAAATTATGCATACACAAGTCACATATTGCTATCCAAATCTAAAATTCATGGATGAAAAACATATCATGTAGCAATTTTGGATATAATAAAAACATCGCAATAATATCTTAGTTTACAATATTTGCCAAGATTTCAAAATTAAATGATGGCAGAACTACCATTTCTTCTCAAAGATGGGACAAAAATGGCATAATTTAGACACATGTTTGTACATGTTGAAAAAAGTAAAATAACAAAAATACTGAACTCCAAGGAAAATTCAAAACGGAAATTCCCTAATCAACAACAGTTACTGTCATATTCCTAACTTGGTATACAGGCATTTCCTTATATAAGTTTAATTTGTAAGTGTGAATTTTCAAATGTGTGCAAGAACTAAGTAATTATTTGTGAGAGAGGCTAAACACTGAGTAAATTATTTAGTTGGCTCTGTCTTATGTTCTTTATTGTGAAGTTTAAGTATTTTTCATTTATGAAAACTATTCCAACTCATGAAAAGGGCTTTCATATGTAAATTGCTTTATATGCATGCTGAATACCTGTTATAGTGAAAAGACAGAAGCTCATAGAGAGGTTTTGTTTTTATTTTACGAAGAAACAAGAATGTGTCCATAGTACATGAATGCCCCACTCGCACTATCATTTTCTATGTTCAGTGGACCGTGAAATTGGGATCAAAACTCTAATTTGGCATTAAAATTAGAAAGATCATATCATAGAGAACATGTGTACTAAGTTTCGAGTTGATTGGACTTCAACTTCATCAAAAACTACCTTGACCAAAAACTTTTAACCTGAATCGGGACAGACAGACGGACGGACGCACAGACTGAAAACATAATGCCCCTAGGTGGAGCATAAAAAAGAAAATCAGTTCTGTCTTTAAACATGTAATGTATATATATATATATATGGTAAAATTGAGAATGGAAACGGGGAATGTGTCAAAGAGACAACAACCGGACCAAAGAGCAGAAAACAGCCAAAGGCCACCAGCTTGAATGGGTCTTCAACACAGCGAGAAAATCCTGCACCTGGAGGTGGGCTTCAGCTGGCCCCTAAACAATAATGTATACTAGTTCATATATATATATGAATAGAGTTTTAAATAATTCATAAATTAAGCCTTTCCTTAATTAAAGGCACATAACAAATATTGTTATACTTCAATAATATAAGATATAAAAATTTGGGGTGATCAATACTTTTGTCCTTTGCACTGAAGTCTGTATTTACCGGTATCTTGTATCTAGATACTTTGATATTCTTTTTCTAAATTAACATATATGGCTTATAAAAGAGATTACAGAATATATGGACAGAAGTATAAACATTCTTGTGGGGTCATTACTGGTCAGATTTTAATAAACTTGGTACATTCTTAAGAAAGAGAATTTACACGGGTGTATTTGCTTGATTTGTTAATTGATTTCAAGTGTTTTTATTTTCTAATGATTGATAAAAACAAGTTTTATTTATCATGTTTATTGTCAAGAAGTTTGTTATATATATTTCAACATGTTTTACTAAAATAAAATTGTAAATAATTATCAGTGTGTTTAAATCAGGAAAAAACAAAAACAACTGAAGACAAAACTAGCTATAATCGAATGAAAAGTAAAATTTTGACAATTCGAATACTTAATTTCAACACCTGGTTTGTAAAAATGCGAAAACAAATGCCTTCAAAAGGCTTTTTTTTTGGTGATTGATACTTTTGTCCATGCACTGAAGGGTCTGTAGTTATCTTGTATTTAAATATTTTTATATTCTTTTTCTGAATTAACATATATGGCTTATAAAAGAGATAACAATTATTTTTTCTGCAATATGTGACTATGGTTAGAATGAGACTGCAGAAAGGATAAAAGCTTAAGACCATGTCTCGATCTACTTTTCTCTGTGTTGCAACTTGTTTTAAAAAAATAATAAGCTCATCATGATACCAGGCTTATAATTTTGTACACCAGATGCATGTTTCGTCTAAAAAAAAAAGTGATGCTAAAATAAAAAACGTTCAATGGCCAAATCAAGTACAAAGTTGAAGAACATTGAGAATCAAAATTCCAGAAGGTACAAATGTATAGATAGAATACATTACAGCTTAGGTATTATATTCCTGGTGTCAAAAATCCTCAGTATTTTGAACAATTCAAAGCTTTGTAAATTTATAAATATGACCATTATATATAGATAACATTTCATGTCAACACGTACAGAAGTACTGACTACTTGGTTTGTGAAACCTCCATCAGAGGTAAATACATGTGCACCTTCTACATATAATGTAAATGCTGGTACCTGCAATTTGTACCATATGTGAAATAATATAATATTACTGTGTGCACACTTACATACACATCAAAAGTCACATTTTTTTTCATTTGAGGCATTAACATTGTTCTAATACCACTAATAATTCATAAGAGCATTAATTTAAAAATAATTATTATTTTGGTACATTATGAAAGAGCTTAAATACAAATGTATATACATGAATAGTTTTAAATATTTCATAAATTAAGCCTTTCCTTAATTAAAGACACATAACAAATATTATTATACTTCAATCATGACAATAATATAAGATAAGTTAATGGTAGTTGAGACTGAAATATGAAATTTTGTTGGTATTTTTCATAAAATCTCAATATAAGGACAATAACTTCGAATACAAATAAACAGTGTTAGGGGGTAAAAAAAATTTTTAACACAGATACTGTATATGTTCAAAAATTATTCAGATGTTTTTATAAATGCAACTGTATCATGATCAGTATAAAACTTGCATTCATGATTTCAGTAGTGATTTTCCTGTACAACATTTTTGCAATCACACTTAAACAATAAGATATAACTATAATACCACCAATCAGTGATTCACAATAATAAATGCAAGCATTAATTTCTGAATTTACAGTATTCCCAAAGAAATACAATATTTACAGTAAGAGTTTTCCACCAATGTTTAATTTGGTCATATTAATAACTCCTCACATATGAAAGTTCTAATACATCCTTGGTTTTAAATTGTTTTAGTATGAGTGTTCATAAAGATAGTGCTTCAGATGCACAAATAATGATTTATAATTATACAGTGGAATTTTAATTTTTTACGTCATGGTGAGACAATTCAAACTTTTTCTGCAACTTAAAAGATACAGTCTTATATGAGTTTGAGCTTTTCTGATGAAGGTAAATCCAGAAAAGCACTCTGAAAAGCAAGTTTATATAGTGTTATTTTAATTCAAACTTGTACCAACAATATCCATGAAAATTGGTATCCAATGAATAAGGGATCCACAGTATATAACTTCAGAGATACATGTGTACATGGTGTACAGTGCTTTAAAAAACTTTAAAATATGTAACACACGAACAAAGGATATGGTGTATCCATCAATGACACATGTCTATTATACATGTACAGTCTGCACCATTTATAGCCACTAGTCCTATGCCCCAGACTAATAAAATTTAATTCAGACTTTTAAGTATTAGCAAAACTTTGTTTAGACACATAAGGAAAACGTTTGAATATTGGTCTTCGGACTAATAGAACTTTGGAAAAAACTTTGGTGCTGACTGCATGTATTGTGTGCAACAATTCACTTCAGGTTGAACAAAACCTTTTTCATGGGAAAGGTTGCCCATAAAAGTATCTATTCGTGTAATTAGAGATACTTATTTTTCATTATTCCTTTTTTTGTTTTGAATCAATACTTCAAACTCAAGACACTTGTAAGACCTCATGTTGATATAAATTTTTTTTTCAAAATTTCTAAAGCATGGGAAGAATTCCTTTTTTCAGGATTGTTATCATGAGGGGGAATTATCTCTTACTTCTTCATCTATGCAGAGTCTAAGAACCATCTCACAAGTACAAATGTACTTTATTCAATATTGCAAATGTATGATACATTTTGTACTCATTCAAAACATCTTGTTGGGTCGTGCCCACCCTAGTAAAGGACTACTGAATGAATTAAAAGCTGATACACTTTACCTCATTGGGTTTCATTGGTCTGCTTCTTGATTTGACAGGAGGTCTTCCAAACCCTGAATTAGTACTCCTATATGATCTTTCAGTTCCACTGCCAGAAATTCCACCAGCTGAAGAAACTCTTTTATTTCCAGCACTAGTTTTGCGTTTATTTATTGGGATATCTATCTCTACAGTTAAATCTGGATCTTGTTCAAAATTATACGTAGTGTGATCAACTGTTATCGGGGATTTGTGACCCCAGAGATGAACTTTGATTCCATCGTGATGATCTACCGGATTATGGTCACCAGAACCAGAGTGAGAAATGTCCCCCATATTATTTTATTTAGGGGTATTTAGCATTTTTATGAAACTAGTTTCTAGATTTATTATTGTTTTCTAGTTATTCACAATATAATCACTCAAAGATGGGAATTTCAACTGCTTTGCATTGTAGGGGTTTATTTTGCATGTGCATGTCAACCATATTGTTTACGTCCGGATAACAACCAAGAGATAACAGGTGCGACCAAAAAAGTCCCTGTACATATGAAAATTTGAAACATATGATGATGAAAATTTTAAGTATATTTTGATTTGTACATGCCATTGATACGTCAAATGAAATATGCATACATTATTATCATTAATCGCAAATAGTTTTTTTTGTCAAAATCAGTACGCGAGCGGAAGTTAGGAATTTTCCGCCAAAATGGTAATTCCCAAGACCAAACTAGAAATAAAAACGAAACAAGAAAGAAGGGACGCGATTGAATATAAAAATCATATACATGTACATATGTATTGAATATATATTTAAATCCATCAACAGAATTCAATAGAAAAAAATCAAAAGAAACAACTATTTGAAAAAAAAAGTACACATCCTCCAAACAAAATATGAATGGTCGGGCGACGTCTTATATCATATTTTTAAGCAGTACCTCGAAATGCAGGCTAGAATATACATATCAAGTCCTGCAAGTTATTCATCTTTTAATAATAAATTTTCAACTTAATTATCGACTTAAATGATAACA